AACCAATACTAGTGCCACTGGTCTTACGATGAGTAACTAAGAGATGAGCGATAATGTGTTTGTATTTGTGTCTCTTGTTACTCTTAATAGGCATTCTTAATAGGCGTCATTGTCACGTCTATGAACATTCGTCATCATTAATATATGTTTGTATGTTTGTTTATCATTCTCTGTGTAGATAGCGTCGTTTGGAATCTTCTTGAAGATCAGCTCGTATAGACCTCGTGTACCTTTATACCTCACTCCGTCTATGATTATAGTGTCGTCCGTATCTACGTCAAATTTTTTACTACCTAACATCATACCGTTTTCATCAAAATAAACACCGTAGACAAGATCGATTTCGTTTCTTGCATCACTAGTTAAAAGAGTATTTACGTATATTTGTCCTAACGGTCCTAATTGACTTTGCAATCTCTGACGACCTTGAGGTGTGTTCAACACCTGACAGACGTTTCGAGCGATGACGGATCATCATCGGTTTTAAAAACTTCTTCATCCCGTAAGTTAAATGGAGTTATCTGTTGTTGTTGTTGTTGTTGTTGTTGTTGTTGTGATTCTATTGGTGTCGAATGAATTATGGACGAATCAAACATAACGTTTGATCATTTCTTTTTATTTGTTTGTTCCATGAAAGACGTTGGGGAGTAATTTGTGTTGGAATCGCATCATCATCATTATCGTCGTCATCATCGTCGTCATCATTATCCTCATCATCGTTGTACTCACGTTTATTCTTTTGCTTACTCTCCGTAAACTTAGTGTCAAATGGTTTACCTCCACGTTCAGTGTTTCCAGCAATTTGTTTCAACGGTTCGATAATAAGTTTTAATTGTTTCTCCAGAATGATCTCATTCTCCATTGTGCCAGTCTTCAATGCTCGGTGTTTCTTACGAATCGACGCGCGAGTCTTCGCGATCAGTTTTGCTGTTTTCTCCCGTTCAGAGATACTTTTCGTTCTGACCATCTTATCGTAATGTCAAAGAGGTACTGCTCACTTTTTTTTTACAAAAAAACACTACAAATGATTTTTTTACACTACAACGAAATCGTTGAATCCTCGTCTATATCTACCGTTGCGTAACGCGCTATCTTTGTCTATTACCACAAAACCGTATTTGTGTTGCCAACATAAATGGCACAACGTGCAAAAATTTTCATACGATATATCGGTGTTCACGTGATCGTTA